CACCACCATAGGCTCCACCATAAATCAGGACTCGACTCAGAGACCCATTTATGTACCTAAGAATCCACTTTACAGCTTGTCATTGCGCCTTTCTAGGATTGACCATATACCTGCTTACAAAGTTCACGCTATGTCTGGCCTCGTACGGATCATATCATACATCAAAGAACCCACTATACTAGCATATGGAATGCTACTTATATAGATTATTTCAGCTTCAGTACTCGTACTTTGAGTAGTGCTAGGATTAAACTGAGTATTTGTTGGAGTCACAACAGGCTTTGAATTCGACATACTAAACTTGTCAAGAAGCTTTTGTAGGTATGTCTCTTGAGATAAGCACAACTTCGACTGCTTTCTATCTCTCTGGATGTCAATCCCAAGAATCCTGGTGGCAGCTCCCAGATCCTTCATTTCGAACTCCTTACCGAGTTCAGCCTTCACCTCCATTACATCCTCGATAATGTTTCTAGCTATAAGGATATCATCCACATAAAGCAACAAAATAACAAATGAGTTTCCAGGTCGAAATCTGAAGTAATTACAGTGGTCGAATTGACTCCTCGTGAAACCAATGTGTGTCATGAACTTGTTGAATCTCCTTTTCCACTGTCGAGGAGATTTTTCAGGCCATACAAAGACCTATTCAACCTGCGCACATAGTCTTCCTTATCCTTTTCTGCATACCCTTTAGGTTGACGCATTAGGATCGTTTCGCCTATGTCACCATACAAAAATGTTGTCTTTATATCCATTTGCTCAAGTTCTAGGTCGAACTTCACCACCATGGCCAATAATATTCTAATCGATCTATGCTTTACAATAGGTGAGAACACATCATTGAAGTCAACACCTTCTTTCTGATTGAACCCTCTAGAAACCAGCCTTACCTTAAAGCGCTTCGACATCACTCATTCGATTCCTTCCTTGACATTGAAAATACACTTACAGCTGACTAACTTGGCCCCTGCAGGTTTCTCAATCAGCTCCCAAGTTTTATTATGAAGAGATTTCATCTCGTCATCCATGGCTTTTTTCCATTCAGTATGATTTCGAATCCTCATGGCTTTCTTGTAATATCTAGGTTCTTCCTCAAGTACCTCACTTACAGAGATTAAGGCAAAAGCTATAAGATCTGCATGACCAAGTCTCTGAGGTGACTTGATAACTCTTTTCGACCTATCTCTTCAGCATCTTGCTCTTCTTCTTCGACTTCATATGGGTTATGCACTTCAGCATCACTATGCTCCACCTCAATAGGAATCTCTACTTGTTCCAGCTCCTCTTCAGAGATTTCTGCACTTCGACCAGCATCACTAGTTTTCTTGAGCGCCATCTCGACTTCATTGAAAACTACTCCACGAATTATGATACATCTTCTATGACCTGGTTCTAGGCACCACAACCTATAACCTTTGACTCCCTCTGGATATCCAAGGAACATACGTGTCAGAGCTCTAGGTTCGACCTTGTCTTGCCTAATGTGAGCATAGGCTAAACAGCCAAATACTTTCAGTTTGTCGAGATCAGGTGGTTGACCCGACCAAACATCTTCAGGTGTTTTCATTCCCAAGGTAGTCGAGGGACATCTATTTATCAGATAAGCTGTTGTCGAAACAGCCTCCGCCTAAAACACATTCTTCAATACAACACTAACCAACATGCGTCTAACCCTTTCAAGGATTCTTCGATTGAATCTCTCAGTTAAGCCATTTTGTTGAGGAGTACCTGCTACAGTCTTATGCCTTGCAATTTCAGACTCAACACAGTAACTGTTGAAAGCTTCATTGCAGAACTCAAGGTCATTGTTGGTTCTCAACCTCTTAACCTTTCTGCCAGTTTGAATTTCAACCAGAACCTTCCAACTTTTGAAATTCTCACAAGTTTCATCCTTAGTCTTCTGAATGGATACACATAATTTTCTAGAATAGTCATCAACTATGGATAGAAAATACCTTGCACCTGTATATGAAAGATTCCTTGCAGACCCCCAAAGATCAGCGTGGATGTAATCAAGGGATCCACGTGTTCTTTGTTTATCTTTGTTAAACTTCTCCCTACAGGATTTTCCAAATACACAAGGTTCACAAAACTCCAACTTTTCGACTTTGTCACCACCTAGCAGGTTCTGTTTCCCCAATTCGACCATGCCTCTTTCGATGACATAGCCCAATCTCATGTGCCATAATTCTGTCTTCGACACTGGTTTCGTGGATGCAAAATCTACTGAGCCACTTAAACCTCATCCTCGAGGGTATACAAGCCTTGTTTCTTCACGCCTCCCAAGACTTCCTTCGACTCCTTCATGACTTTCAGGATACCTTGCTCTCCTTTGAAGACATATCCTTTCTTGTCAAATTCACCAAGAGAAATTAAATTTCTCTTAAGGTCAGGTACATACCTAACCCCAATCAATAGCCTTATTGACTCATCATGGAGCTTGAATTTTACAGATCCAATACCTGCAATCTTGCAAGCTTTATTGTTTCCCAACAACACTGATCCACTATCTTGATCACATAATTCTTCAAACACATTCTTGTTTGGAGTCATATGCCAAGTACATCCATAATCCACTCTTTGCGAGAGTTACTGCTCGACACCACAAGGACATCAAATGATTCATAATCATCTTGCACAATAGCTTCATTTCCATTGTCCTTACCTCCATGATTATTCAAGCGCTCAGAGCATATCTTTCTTGTGTGACCCTCCTTCTTATAGTAATAACACTTAATCCCAAAAATATCACCACCATAAGACTTCTGGTGAGTTTTACCTTTCTTCTTCTCAAACCTACCATCTATCTTCGACGATTTCCCCTTTATGGACAACCTTTCGCCAACTAATGGTGATGGTTTCTGCTCATTTCTTTCATTCAAATCCTTCGAATACAAGGCTGCTAGAACTTCTTCGAAGGTCATGGACTTTCTTCCATACAAGAGGGTTTCTTTGAAGTGAGCATGTGACTTAGATAAAGAACACAACAATAACAACGCTTGATCTTCATCATTGATGGTAACATCAATATTTTCAAGATCAAGAATCAGCTTGCTGAACGTATCCAGCTGCTCCATCAACGCTTTATCTTCATTCATTTTGAATGAATACAAATCTTGCTTCAAGTGAAAACGATTCACCAAGGACTTTGACATATACAATCCTTCGAGTTTCAGCCAAACACCAGTTGTCGTTGTCTCTTTCGAAATCTGCCTGAGAACCTTATCACCAAGACTCACAACAATTGCACTATGGGTTTTCTCGATCATCATTGTCTTTTCCTTCTCCACCAATGCAACATCCATGGCATCTTATCCCTTTAACACTTCTAGCAAACCCTGTTGAACAAGAAAATCTTGAATCTTCAAACGCCATAAACCGAAGTCATTAACTCCGGTAAACAAGAAGGGCTCATCGCACCAGTTTGTTGTGATCACAAACGATACCTTTCAACAAATAAAGATTGAGAAACAGAGTTCTTGGGTGAGCAATGAAAACGGTTAGAACAAAGAGAGAAAGAAGAGGGGATAAAGAAGAAAGAAGAAGAATTATTAGTGCAAATTGCTATACTATTCACTTTCTCAATATTACAAAAGATTACAAGTGAATAACACAATCTGACCACACTCAACAAACTGAGTGTACTAACTTATATATAGACTAACTAGATAACTTACAATCCAAGCTAATTAAATAATTGGATCCTTACTACAAGACCTAATTCGACATAATAAGTCAACAATATATATTTCAACATTACATACTTGAATTAACTTCGACTACAGTATATAACCCTTCGATTAACTTTGACTACAGTATATAACCCTTCGACGTCATGCTTGTCTACTGTCGAAACACATGAAAGCTATTTCTCGAAAGAGTTAGAGTTCGACCCAAAATCTCATGACTTCAATACAAGTAATGTTGATTCCCTTGTTCTATATCAAACTCATCAATGCATCATGATAATTGACAGCATATGCTTAAATCAATGCATCATGATAATTGACAGCATATGCTTAAATTGCAGCTGTTATTGTCTCAACCAGATTTGATTTAAAGTGGTTGAGTTTCTTGGCAATAAATGATTTTGAAAGCTGCCATGTGATTGGTTTTAACATATCAATATCCTAACAAGTGAACTCAATCAATTCCTTTCTACTAACCACCATAATAAATGATTGGTTACAAAAGCTAAAGAACTATGTTCACATACTTCCCTTTAGTCTAGAATATAACCAATAAAAAAAGTCAATTTGTGTGTTTAACTAACTCTGCGTTGCTCCTTATATATGAGGCCAAATGCTGCTATATGAATCAGATTCAAGTTCAACTCCTCCCAAAAGAAAATGGTGTCTGCACTAGAACAACAGCAGACAGCACAAAATGATAGTGTTCGCGCCCACGGCGAAGAAAAAGGAAGCATCTGTGCTTTGTATGCATACATCATAAGTTTCCAATTCTCTTTATTTTCTCTGTTTTCTAAATTTTCTCTGCTACACACAACAAATTGATCACTTGACTCTTTGTTTCAGTTTCTATTCACTCTTTTGCTGCTTTTGCTGCTACGATAGTTGCCGATGCTGCTGTGGACGCACCTGCTGTTGCTGTCCCCAGATTGCTTAATCTCCAAGATACCTATGCCAAGTTTATGTTTCATTGCTTTTTTGTGTGTATGAAATGATGATTTTCGGAGATATTATGGAATCATCTTTGAAAACAAAGATAAATGTATTTTGTCTTGCATCGTGATTTTTCGTCTTGGTGTATCAGTAACAAGCATTTTCTACCGCTACTTATTTCTTAAGAAAAAACCAGAAAGGAATAGGCATTACTATTATGTTCTGATAAGAATATTCTCTATACATTTCAAAGAAAATAGTGCTGATACATTGACTCATCGCCTCCACGAGTGATGAAACTAATCAATGCCGATCGATCATCTCAATTCTCTCAAAGAATGGAAAAACCCAACATTCTCCTATCATCATCTAGTTAAACTAGACACCTAGGATCGGGTTTCTCTTTTCATCAATTTCAATGGTTAATAGATGTTGAGGATCTGATCCATTCGGACCCTGCGAGTAAAGTGTAGGAAGGTACGCGTTGTATGCTGGCAAGTAGCGCGAAACAAAATCATTCACCTGAAGACAGCACAAACCACAAAAAAATCCTAGCTTAAGACTCATTCGAACATGGATATTGCGAACACTAAATAGACATTATCATATATTCGCGCAAATAACAGACCTCATCATCAGACATTCCAGGATTTCCTGCCTCCCTCATTGCAATCTCAGCCTATAAAATTTTAACAGCACGATGCGTGCATTGACGTTACAATCACATTCTGAACACAAATTTTTATAATTTCTGAAAGACGGTGTAGAAACAACCTACCTGCAAGCGCCACTGGTAGACACAACTTGGATCCTTAATCTTAATGACTATCCATGACTTTATATATTTGTCCCACGCATCATAATAAGCTTCGAGGTTCTTATTTATTATTTCTAACTGCAAAATATGAACGGTCGATTATGTTCCAAGAACAGCGTCGTGAACTTAATGTGTACTTTAAGAAACAAAAAGATACTTTACTAATACTAACCTGAGGATCAACCGATTTTACGGCTTCAACTGGAACAGGCTTGAAACCAAGCATCCAGCCTTCAAATAACACAACCTAAAAGTCCATACATGCTTGTTAATGGAGGAATAAGCACTTATTTCACACGAGGTAAATATCTCAGAAGCAGTTCAAAAGTTACAATTAGAGATTCTCTTACTTCAAGTGGCCCTTCAATTTCAGGCCATGTTGAAGGATCAGCGCGATCACCTCTCCCACCGAAAGCAGACTGCAAATACCAGACACATCGCCATAAGCAACTACGAATTCAAAAGATGTTTAAATAGCCCAAATAAGCACTTTTTTCCCTTACTTTATCATATCTTGGTAACTTCATCTTGATACCTGGATACTTTCAATAACAATAAATTATACGTAACATACAAAATAATAAACGGAAAAATGAGTTCGAACAGCCACCTTCTTTCGACATTTTGGTTAAAGCCGACAGAGTTTCGACAGAAATAGGAAGATCATGGCTTCCCGCATTTCCACGAAACTGCAACAAACAAGGCCAGCAAAAATATTTTAGTCGTCGTTACCATAACGTTCCTCAATTTTACACGGTTTTCTACTGCTAGTAAAAGTGTATAATTACCTCAAGAAGTGCATTTCCTGGATTAGCTTCTCTTAGTTTATTCTACAATCCAAACACAATTTTATTGTCACCCAAAAAGAAAAAGAACAACACGAGAGTATTAACCGAAAAAAACAACATCTTAGAAAATGGATTCTATATACCTGACCTTCAGCCGTCAAATAAAAATCATCTATCGATATTGTTGCAGACTTCCTGAAATTTCTTATATAGTCATCAAAACAAAAAGAAAAATTCAAGATCATCGTTGTTTCAAAGCCAAAGCCTACCTGCCAATCATTTGGAAAAGGTAGTCGAGAGCAAAGACGAGGGTCGTCTTTCCACAGCCTTGAGGAGCACTAAATCCAATCTGAGTCATACAAAAAGAAAAAAGGCCTTTAAACAATTTTTTTTCTTACAAAATCCTCGAGGCGTATTGAAGGAGGTCGAATATAAATACCACTAAAGGAGGTATATCTTCTCCGTCTTTGAATTTGGACCGATGCTGAACAATCTCACTATCACACCAGAGGAAGACCGGTATATAGTAATGATAAAGCCTAACTTTTTGAGGCTCGGTCAAGAACAATTCGTTAAGCTGAAACAGTCTGCATAGTTGTCGCCCGTAGGTTAACCACTTATCTATAGACTCGGCCACGTTCTCTGGCGTCAAACCAATTTTGTCAAGCAAAGGTCCTGAACAAATAAATGTGTACAGGTCTTGCACAGAGGAAACTTGAGCAGGCGATGACGGATATACTGAATGGACAGGACCATTCTTTTGCTCGTTGCTGACAGATGTCGAACTACTTTGCAGCCATGAACTTCCACTACCTGCAGAAATAATTTAACTGTAAATTCAAGATTTAGACGAGATTCGTGATTTCTGTACCCAAAAAAATTTCCAGCCAGAGTTCAAACTCGGGTTTTACCGAAGGACTCGTCTTTAACAAGAGTCCGATAATCACTCAAGCATAATCAGTTTGCTACTAATTCTAACTATGACTAATCAGGAATCCTATATAGCTAAGATTCAGATTCCGTGAGCAACTGCAAAGACTAATTCCACAAGATAATTGAAATTCACTTAAGGGGGGTTGTTGGTCTCTCCCACGATGTTAAGATCCTCGTATACACGGACCGGAGCAACTCGAGTATCAACCACAAGTGTCACACCATGTTAGTGAAAATGTAGCTTTCCACATGAACATAAAAGCATCTAATATTGTTTTCAAGATATAAAAACCAAAGATAAGAAATTTCTAACATCTTGAAGGCCTAAAACTCATCTCAAAGACAGAATAGAGTGACATAACATGCATCAATCATCAAACAAACTAGTATGAATAAGAAACTTTCAATACAAACACCTTCATTCACACATGCATGTAACAAATTGGTCAACACAAAACATACAAATTGGTTAATATAACAGAATATGAATTGGTTAAAGTTAGAGAAAAGAAAAAGTACCTGACTTTGTGAAAAGGGTCTTAGAAGAGTTAGAAAGGGTAGGGGCAGAAAGGGAAGAAGAATTGGAAAAGAAATGAAATTTAGAAGTGTTAGAATTTGAACAGAAAGAACCATAGCTAGAATTTGAATAAAAAGAAGAAGAACAGCAGAAAGAAGATGAAATTGTAGGGTGCAATGTTTGAGAGAAAACATTCAAAGTAGCCATTGTTGTGATGTTGTTTTTCTCTATCTATCTAGTTTGCAACAAAGAGTCAGAAACAAATCTTAGCCGCCACGTAATCTTTGGCTCGTGTTCTTTGGCCAAACCAGTGATTTACACCAGAAAAAATAATATAATATAGTACAACTGTATTCTATTCTATTATTCAATTATTCTATTCTATCTATCTATACATTCTAATTTGTGTATGCAATTCTATTCTAATCTATCTTCTTAAATAGTGTAAGCTTTAGTTTTCATATTGTTCACATAAAACTTGTATCAAACTTCTAAACTATATCTAACAAACAAGATAAATTCAACTATCAAAACCATATATAACTTCTAGTAAAAAACCGCATAAAAAAATAATCACATAAGATAAAAAGATTCTTCATTTTTACACGTCATTCATAAAAGAGACTCATTTTTACTGTAACAGTTTGACACAACATTTATAGAAGAGACGTATCTTCTTTTGTTTACGTCAAAATCATAAAAATTATCGTAATTACTATGATCCATGACGAAATAGTAATAATCAAAAATAATCTTCTAAACTCATCTATTTCTTCTTGGTAAATCTCATTTTTGAAAGTCGAGAACAATAACAAATAAAACTTATATTTAATGTAAACACTAAACAAATAATTGAATTTAGATCTTATTTTCCCAAATTCTTTAGTTCTATTGTAATGTATCTTTTTAAATAGAGTTAGGTTTAGATTTCATATGGTTCACGTAACAACTTGTATCAAAGTTCAAAGTATCTACAGCAAAGAAACACATTAAAATGTGTTTTTGTTTAATAATAACAAAGAGCATTTCATTACTAAGTTATAAATTAGGGCACAAGATATTCAAAATCATATACAATCAAAATAGAGAAGAAAACCGCAAAATACAGAAACAATTCTTAAAATCAACACAACATTGATAAAACAATTTTATTAAATGACAAAATATATATAATGGAATTTTCAAATAATAAAAAAAAACATGACGGCCAACAAAAGAAAATGCACACTAATACAAAAGAAATTACCATGATTCATGATTATATGATGTGGTGTGTTCTTAATCTCAATCTATTTCTTCTTCACTAATCTCTTTTTTCAGAGATTAGAACAACAAATACGAAAATTAATTTTTTTTAGTAAACACTAAATTTATAACTTTGTCAAGTTACTACCAATTACCAATTATAATAAATAAATTTAGGTTTTATCTTTTGAAACACTCTCATCCCATGTGTAGTCTCTATCTTATTGTTGTATCTATCCTATTGTTGTAAAATTTAAATATTTTAGAATGATTTGCATTTTTTAAGTAAGAAAGGGATTATTTTATAATTTTTTTTAGTTTTAAACTATAATAATCACAAATAATAACTACAGATATATTATAAATAAAATTAGAATAGATTTTAATAAAAATAACAAGTTGGTAAGGCATTATGGGTCATACTAAACCTATTTAGTATTTAATTAATATTTAAGATTTTATATTTATATTTTTGGTTACTAGGATATTATATTTTATTTAATGTTTAATTGGGGATATTATTTATTGAATAAGATAAGCAAATTAAAATTCATAAATAGAAAGTAATAAAAAATTCCATCGAAACTAGAAAAGAAATTTTAATTATGCAGAGTTTTTATCACTTTGTTAGAGTCTGCTTTGTTCATTTGAATAAGTTATAAACTTCCAGAAAAAAGTGCTTAATTAGTCTTAAGCAATCTCATCACCATCTGAATTCAAGACAACATTCTTCATCTCCATTGTTCATAAAAACTAAGAAGTAACCGAAATAGTGATTAAATGTATATACAAAAAAATAATACATGATGAGCTGTTTTGAAACATAAAACAACAACATATCTCCTTTTTGTGACAAAGTACAACTTTATCATATAAAATGTTACAAATTAGGGGTCCCTTCCCTTTGCATTCATCATTTGTCCATCAACTTCATCTTGAAAACATTGTTTCAAGCAATTTCGGCGAAGACAAAGTTGCTACACATTTCAGCTGCAAAAACAGAAGATTTTCATTTCATCATGTAAAGTTATGTCACAAATTGACTTGAAAACATAAACCTCTCTTTCTGACATACCTTGTCTTGCGTGTACTTAGTGCGGATCGAGGTTAAAGGACAATCATTGCTATTCAGTTGTAGATCTTGTAATGCAAGAACCGCGTCTTTCAAATCTGATGCTTTGTAAGAAGCATAGTGTTCGAGAGTTGGATTCTGCAAAAGACAATAGTAACAGCATTGAAGGATGTTTCCTTTGTTGTGTAACTTCGTATGGTACGAAAAATAAGAAAGAGAAACACTAACTAACCCATGGGTTGTTTGACTGATCTAATGTCCATCGTGCGAGAAACACTGCAGATGCAGCAATCATAGAAGGAAGGAAATTTAAGAAACTATAGCTCATCAGTGTTAGTTCTGCCAGGTAATTCGCCAAGTACTCCAACTCAATGCTTGGTCTCTGTAAGTTTTTTTTATTCATTAACAAATGATTAGTAATAGTAATACTCAATACAAATCTGACATGTCTTGGATTAAGCAGCATTTCGTCGATCTTTTCACCTTGTAAGAAGCTTGTGCGGCTCGAAGAAACCTCCTATGAAACCAAGAATGTATCAGAGGAACTCCAAATATCACGTATTTGTGTACCAGTGAATGATAGAGTAAAAGTGAACAAGTACCTGAGAAAAGTTTTTGTAGTAGGAGCAAATAGTTGATACGCCAAGGACTTCAACACTAGAGACTCCATCTGTAGTACCTGTCAATATACAGAATTTTCTGATAAGAGTATGGACTCCGTACATACCATACGCGTACCAGTACCAGTACCTGTACCTCTACAAGGTACTGGTACCTTGCCTAATACCGCGTACTAGTGCTTAAGAGGTTTTGATGTATGTTTTCCTTGATATTTAAATATTAATCATTCATCGTGGAAAGAGGAAGACGTATATACCTGCTCTTTTGTGTATGTGTTGTCTGTGATGAAGCAGAAGTCTTCAACATGGGGGGCGTTAATTTCTTCATACTTTCTTCAATCACATATGAAAGAAGACATTACTAAGTGCGGTTGTCAAACACTCGAGTATAATAATCCAAAATATAATTATAGTGTAACATTATCGTTGTTGTTACATTGATGCCAACTAGAAGAACAAGGAATAGTGTGTGAAATTATCTTTAATGTTTACTGTTTTTAAACATTCACCGTCTCTTATTACGGTCAACTAAGTCATGGAACACACGAGGACAAGTTTCTTCCGTTTGAGGACTTACGAGGCAATTAGCATACAAGTGATGCCGAGCAACTGAAGTTTCTGTCTTTCAATGAAACTTTTTGAGAGAAACCAATCCATGAGATATACAGCAAGGTAAAGAGTGTTTGCTTGCAATTTGTATCCTTCAGAAACCTGTAAATGAAGCTCAACACAAGGAATTCAGTGCATTATTCATATTTTATCAACTGATAAGTTATATCATAGTATCTACTAAACATTAAAATCAACCACTTTATATGAGTCAATATTGGAAAGTCAAATAATGCAAACCTCTACAAGCCAATCGACCAGTATCCCGCGCATGCTAGGAGTGATATCTCGCTGTACTGTTTCCATTAAATTAGGATTAGGCCTTCTCGACAGCTGAAAAATGAAATGTTTGATAAAAAATAAAAAAAAAAAGCAAAATCAAAGCATGCTTCAGGCGAATATTTGTTTTACCATTTATCAAGCATTTTATAAAGTTCACAACTATGTGCCACTAGACAACAATGACAGTGCATTAACGGGACAAACCTCAGCAACACGCATGTGGTCGTATATATCAGCAGCATAGAGGCTGCAAAGTTGAGGATCTTCAAAATCAGCATCTATGTCAGCGACATCTGGATGCTTTGACACATCCAAAAGTTCAGAAATGTTAGCTTTCTTGGCCGCAACAGTTTGTGAAGCTAAGACCGAAAATAATCACATGTAAGTTACATCAACAAACTAAAAAGTTATCTATTTATTCTATGGTGGTACTAAAGCAATGCACAAACCATGAACTACAAAAATAGAGGAAAAACCTTTCTTTTCAGAAACAGAAAGCTGAGAAGATACTCGAGATGTCTGATTGTGAAGCAGATTGTTATTTGTACAACAAGGATCGGCAGTCAACCTAATTGGTTCATTGTCTTCCAACTTAACCGAACACATGACATCTTCTGATGATCTAAGCCGCATTTCTCGTAATTTCATCTGTTTTGAGTCAGCAGCAATAGCAACTGATGGAACCTCCTTCGAAACATCGGGTTGAGCTGATTTAGTCAGCTTTCTTTTCTTAGCCTAGCAGACATAGATGTTACAGGGTAAAGTCTTGGAATCTTCATTAGTATTGAAATATGAATTTGTTGTAATATTAGTATTATTATTATTAGAATATGTTGAATATCATACAGCTCATTATGAGCTGCTATCCTATACAACTTATTATGAATAATTAGCATTTATAGGAGAATAATTACACCCTTATTTAGATAGATGTATAGTCTATAAATACCTCTTATGTATTCTTTACAAGATATATAAAATATTTCCATATTTCTACATGGTATCAGAGCTCCTGATTCTAGGGGCTCTGCTTCCGCGCTCAAAACACTAGCCGTTCTTATTACGGTCCTTTTTTTTTCAAGGTTCCCTTTCTCTTGGAACCCTAGTGATCTTGGTGACTTTGCAGCCATCGTGCACCGCTCAACCACCGTTGCAGATCCGGACGTTTTCACCTTCATCTTTTTTTAGGACAGCCTTTATTGCCGTACCTCTATTTACTTGCTGTTTGCAGCCCTTGATTGTTCGGTTGTCATCGTTGTTGGTGTTTCTAATTGGCAGCCCTTCGATCCTCTCCTAACAGTAGATCTCGATCCTCTCCTGGTTCGAGACGGTTTGTTTCTCTCTATGGACTCCTTGAGTAAGTTCTCTAACACTAGTTCTCTGACCATGATGGGTAAGAATTCTAGCTCCTTAGCTTTTAATGCCTCTTGTTCTAAAGATATCTGGATTATTGACTCTGGTGCAACTGATCACATGACTCCATATATGTCATATCTCTCTTCTTATTCACCTTTACCTAATAAAAGCCATATTACCGTTGCAAATGGGTCTCAAACCCCGATTGTCGGATCTGGTAACATCCACCTAAGCCCATCTCTCCACCTAAATGATGTGCTTCATGTCCCTAAGCTTTCTAACAATCTTTTGTCCATCCATAAACTCACTAAAGACTTGAACTGTGTAGTAACCTTTTTTCATTCTCATTGTGTTTTTCAGGATCTTGCCACAGGTAAGACGATTGGAATTGCTGAGGAACAGAACGGGTTATATTGTCTGCCTCATAAGGAAAGTAAGTGTCATCAGGCTGGTTCAGAGTCATGGGCAAATGCTCAAATATGGCTCCAACACAGGCGTCTTGGACATCCTCCTTTCCAGATGCTCAGGTCTCTATTCCCTCACTTATTTACCAAAGTGTCTGTTGATTCCTTTCATTGTGATGTGTGTCAGTTTGCCAAATCTCATCGAGCAACCTATTCCCCTAGTAATACTAGGAGTGTCGAACCCTTTGATCTTGTTCATTCTGATGTATGGGGGCCTTCATCCATTTCCAATATTTCTGGGGCAAAATGGTATGTTACCTTTATTGATGATTGTACTCGGGTTACATGGGTTTTTCTTATGAAAGATAAGTCTGAAGTGTGTCAATTGTTTGTTAACTTTTTTCAAATGGTCAAAACACAGTTTGGAAAACCTATTAAACGGTTACGGTCAGACAATGGTAAGGAGTATGTAAACCAAAATTTTTACAATTTTCTCAAAACTAATGGTGTTGTTCATGAGTTGACTTGTGTTAACACTCCACAACAAAATGGGGTTGCTGAAAGAAAAAATCGTCATCTTCTTGAAATCACCCGAGCATTACGCTTTCAAATGAATGTTCCTAAATTTTATTGGGGGGAAGCTGTCTTGACCTCTGCTTATTTAATCAATAGGTTACCTTCTAGGGTGTTATCTGGTGTTAGTCCTGTGCAGGTCCTGACTCAATTCTTTCCGTCTGTGCCCATCTTGTCAAGTCTTCAGAATCGTGTCTTTGGTTGTTCTGCCTTTGTCCATGTTCATGGCCCTCATCGAGGTAAGTTAGATCCTCGAGCTATTAAATGTATTTTCATAGGATATGCTTCAGATAAGAAGGGGTACAAGTGTTATCATCCTCCTAGTCGTCGTGTCTATATATCCATGGATGTTACTTTTCAGGAATCAGAGTCTTTTTATCCCAATCCTCAGCTTCAGGGGGAGAATAATCAAGAAGCTGAGTCTTCAGAGTTGTCTATTCTTCCTGTTATTCCTCTAATACAGGACCCAGAGTCGTCTCCTGAATTGTCTGTTCTTCCTGTAATACAAGAGCCTTTGATGCCTAATGAGGATGGTGGTGATGTATCAATACCGGTGCATAATAATGATGAGGATGGTGGTGATGTACCAATACCGGTGCATAATAACGTTGACAGATACAAGTTACAGTTCCAGCGAAAAAGGTGGAAAGGTAAACCCGTTCTGCCCCAACAAGTCCAATCGTCTGAACCTGAGGTAAGTGTTCCTAACCCTGAGCCTAGTAATTCTTGTGAGCTGAACCTTGATGACCTACCTATTGCTTTGAGAAAAGAAAAAAGTCTTGTACTAAATACCCTATATCCCAGTTTGTGTCTACTGAAAAACTTTCTGTGCAGCATCAGAGTTTTATTTCAGCTATTGACTCTATTAGAGTCCCTACATCAGTACAAGAAGCATTAAAGGATAAGAACTGGATTCAAGCCATGAATGAAGAGATGCAGGCACTAGAGAAAAATGGGACTTGGGAGATTATTGAGAAGACAAATGACAAGAGGCCAGTAGGTTGCAGATGGATATATACGGTAAAATATTGATCCGACGGCACACTGGACAGATATAAGGCGAGGCTAGTAGCAAAGGGATACACCCAGACCTATGGAATTGATTATGAAGAGACATTTGCTCCAGTAGCAAAAATGAACACTGTAAGAATCATTCTTTCCTTGGCAGCTCACTTTGATTGGGAGTTGCAACAGTTTGATGTGAAAAATGCTTTCTTGCATGGAGATTTGAAGGAAGAGGTGTATATGGAGATCCCACCTGGATATGACCCTACTTTAGGAAGTAATAAGATTTGCAGATTAAAGAAGGCCATATATGGGCTCAAGCAATCACCTCGAGCTTGGTTTGGAAGGCTCACTCATGTTATGGTGTCCTTGGGTTATAAACAAAGCCAAGGTGATCATACTCTCTTTATAAAGCATTCTCAAAATGGTAAACTCACTCTTTTGTTAGTCTACGTAGATGATATGATCATAGCAGGTAATGATGAATTTGAGAAGATGAACTTGAGGAAGAAGTTGGCAGCTCAGTTTGAAATGAAGGACCTTGGAAAGTTGAAATATTTCCTAGGTATGGAAGTAGCATACTCAAAACAAGGCATTTTCATTTCTCAGAGAAAATATGTCCTTGACCTTCTCAAAGAGACTGGCAAGTTGGGTTGTAAACCCAGCAGAGTGCCTATAGAGCAAAACCACAGGATTGGGAGTGATGAGGAAAGTCCAAGGGTTGATAAAGCTCAATACCAGAGACTTGTGGGAAAGCTCATTTATCTATCTCACACCAGGCCTGACATAGCTTATCCGGTTAGTGTTGTCAGTCAATTCATGCATGATCCAGAGGAGAGGCACTTACAGGCTGTGGATAGAATCCTGCAGTATTTAAAGATGAGCCCAGGAAGAGGTCTATTGTTCAAGAAAAGTGAGCAGTTGTCTATGGAGGTCTATACTGATGCAGATTATGCAGGGTCGATTGTTGACAGGAGATCCACCACTGGATATTGTATGTTCTTAGGTGGAAACTTAGTGACATGGAGGAGCAAGAAACAAAATGTAGTTGCCAGATCAAGTGCAGAGGCAGAGTTTAGAGCCATGGCTCAAGGAGTTTGTGAATTGTTGTGGATGAAGATTATTCTAGATGACTTGAAAATAAAATATGAAGCTCCTATGAGACTTTTCTGTGATAATAAGTCTGCTATTAGTATTGCTCACAATCCGGTCCAACACGACAGAACAAAGCATATAGAGATAGACCGACACTTCATCAAAGAGAAATTGGACAGTGGTCTTATTTCTACACAGTACGTCCCATCAGGACTCCAGTTAGCTGATGTGCTCACCAAAGGACTCCCCTTAGAGCGGTTTCGAGATCTTACTTGCAAGCTGGGGATGATAGATATCCATTCCTCAGCTTGAGGGGGAGTGTTGTAATATTAGTATTATTATTATTAGAATATGTTGAATATCATACAGCTCATTATGAGCTGCTATCCTATACAACTTATTATGAATAATTAGCATTTATAGGAGAATAATTACACCCTTATTTAGATAGATGTATAGTCTATAAATACCTCTTATGTATTCTTTACAAGATATATAAAATATTTCCATATTTCTACAGAATTAACCAATATATTACAAGACCAAAATAAGAATCATTAGACAGGTTGAAATAAGAACCTGAGTTTCAGTTGGATTTAAACAGCTTCTATTACTTTCTTCGCAGCGAATGTTAGTGACATCATGAAGAATTGCCCTCTTCTTATGCGGAAGATACGTATCATCTGAAACTGCTCTTTTTGAATTGGCTCTTAGAGGATTCTTCTGACTTTCTTCTGCTACCTTCTTCAATGGTGGCAACTGTCCAGTTGCACTTAAAGCAGCAGCTCGAGCACGAGTCAACCGACTTGGAACCTCTCTGCCTTTCAAAATGGCACTCTTCCTCATCTCTACAAGATCCAAAAGAACTCCGAATACTAAATCTCGGTTGGTGAATTTTCTGCAACACAATAAAAGAATCTTGTTCAAACAAACACTTGTCAAACTAATAAACACATGTTTTCTCTAAAAAGTTACCTTAATCAATGTTCCACAATCTCAATACAAAAGCATGTTATCAAATTAACAAAGCATGCAATTAACAAAGTCACCAATTTGTCTCCTAAATACACTATCAAAGTCACCAAATTTGGAAGGCAGAGAGTCCATTTCCAAATCTTAAAAAGCAACAAAAACTGTTTGGATGTGAAATAAGGAAAGAACACACATTACCAACTAATAACAATAAAATAAAGACAGCACAAAAGACACATATGGTCTCTCCATTTCATCACAACACAAAAATGTTATGTTCCTATAAATGTTGTCCAACTTACCCATTTTAAAATGCACATCAAAGATTCAAACTTTATCCCCTATATATAATTTTAAGCTCATTTTAACACTGACCCTAACAAATAAACATGACCCATTTTAAAATGTACATCAAAGATTCAAACTTTGTAAATGAAGAAGAAAAAGAAAACCTGGGGTTTATGCTGCAAGCTCCACCACCAGCTCCATTGAGAGGGAGACAAAAGGTCACATAGAGAAAGAAAGAGTTTTTGTTGAAAACAGCTATCAAGAGAAGAGAATTGAAAGCGGGATAGTGATTTGGTTTAAAATCTACTGTGAGAAAAAAGACAAAATTAAATATATTAAATTAAATAAATAAAAATAATTGTTTGACTAGACTTTTTCAGTTAGTAGCTTTTTTTAAGTTGAATCAATAAAATTAAATTAAAGAGTTTTCCAGATCATGTCAGTTTCAAAGTAACTGATTTATATGTTTATGATATTGGTAAATACATCAATATATAATTTAAAAAAAATTATTTATATATATAAATTTATCAAGTTAATTTGGAAATATTTGTTTTCCAACACTTTCTGACAATTATTTTCAACAAGAGTTGGTACATTTCTCCTCTTACACTTTTAATACACTTGGTTGAAATTTATTGTATTGGTGTCTAGTTTTCAAGGTGATGAGTGAGACTCACGTGAATGAATTTAATAAATGAATTATAAAGTGAATAGCCTCTTCCTAACATTACTAATAGTAATATAAAAGATGATGCACCAATGGATGTGCTAAAATGTGGCTCTTAGATCTAGAGATTTATCCTTCATGTTGACTATATTTTTATGAAATGTAAAAGTTATTTTATAAATGTGAAATTGTTTTTGGTATGTTTGAGGATTCTCAAATATCATATTTATGTTAGAGAAATTTTCATAATACCAAATATATTTTTATTTTATTTTAAACTAAATTTCTCTTTGTTGTGAATTGGATGTCTTGAAACAAAATATAAACGGTTTTTTTTATGATTAAGAAATACACACTAGTTAGGATTAACAAAGAAAACAAGGTAAAACAACAAGGAACAACAAGGATTGGTTATAAACTGCTATTTTTTCCTTACTCTTAGGACAAGATTACAAGTATATAAGAATAGTAAAATAACCTCTCTCACTTGAATTAGGATTTTATCTTTCTATTTTTCCTTATACCAATATGAGAGACTAGCATGTTATTTATAAGAGAAATATCACACTAACCTAATGGGCTTTTTAACAATTACTCTTTTCAATCTAACTTAAATAATTGGACTTACAAGAAAGATCCAACTCAAAATGCTAACACACCTAGCAATATTGAATAATGCATGTTAGAACAAACTTCAACTACAACACGCATTGAAATTCTAGGTACCCAACAGTGGATGTTATCACGGATGTTATGACATCCACTGTAACACAGACTACAAAACTTAATGACAAACTGTAAATAACACAAGTAATTGTTTACCCAGTTCAGTGCAAACTACGCCTACATCTCAGGGCTACCAAGTCAAGGAGGAAATTCACTATTAGTAGAATTAATTCAGAGTCAAACAACCAGTTTGCACTCTTCACTTAAGACCTACCCAATGACACTTCAGCCTAACACTAGACCAGAGTTACCAACTCACTCCCCCTCAATCACAGCAGTGATATCAACCAATTCAAAGTTACAAATGGCAATGAAGTCACACTTCAAACACACCTTGATCTTGCTTCACAACTTTGATCAAGTGACACAACACTCTTGCTTAAAAGCTTTAGAGTGACACACTTAACAGACAACTTAAGGACTCTAGACCAATGTAATCATACAGCATATAATTGCTTGGTTTACAATTATTCCTAAGACACACAAAAATACGTGAAGAACAGAATTCTTCACTCACAAATACACGTTCTCTAAAATCCTGTCAAGAACTATCTTCAAATAGGATTGTTGCTTCTGTATATATAGGCAGCATACAGTCCTTGGGCCTTCGTACTGAAGTTAGGTTTACCCAAGATAAACTTCTCTTCATGAAACTGCGCACGTCCAATTGAGTTAGGGGCATTCCTTAGCAATGTCTGATATGTCGCCTTAAAAAACTAGGCTTCCTAAAATGTTTCCTGAAGTATAGCCTGAGTTAATACCAGAAACTAAAACATGCGCGCCCTGATGTCATACGCTTGATGTCATAACATTCAGCATGACATCCAACTTAAGTTGCTCTTAGTTATCCCAACTTACCCTGCAGAACACTCATTATGTATGTCATAACATCAGTCATGACATTCATACATCCATCAATGTTTTGCCACAAAATACAACCAATCACAAGCATCTACAAACTCCCCCTTTGGCAAATTTTTGGCTAAAACACTCTGTTACCATATCAGAGATCACAAGCAGCAGGAATCATACCATATATGCAGGAAAGCTACTAGCTAACAACACACACAGCTACATTACCATATCAAAATCATCTTCGTACCCTAAGAACTACCTGCTAGTCCATACTACAGGTATCACAATAATCTGTGGATTATCTTATGATACTCCCCCTCAACTGATGCACAGCACATCAGTGCATACACAACCTGCACAACCTGCAGTCACACAAATTTATCCAGACTGGATTCTTGATGTCAGGACATTCAGGATTACATCCTGAAGAATACAATCACCTGTTAGCCTATACTACAAATGTCACAACTTTCTATGAAACATTTTGTGTTACTCCCCCTGAAAAGATGCACAGCCACATACATTCTGCAAACACCCTGCAGACACACACAAATCTAGCAGCTATACTACTACTAGGTTCCATCAAGGAACACACACACATCTTAGCAGCTTCAGCCAAAACTCACACAATTCTAACATACATACCTACACACATTAGAAACTCACACAGCAGCAACAACATCATGTTATCACATCTGCAAGCATGTTCAGTTCAAACATGCACAGATGCAAACATGTAGCACACTTAGAGCAGCAACAACAATCAAGTCTTCCACCTGTGAGATACACAAATCTAGCCCTGTTGTTACTATCACTTATCCCCCTTTTTAGCCACAAATTTAGATCAAAACTAATTAACTAGTATAGATCAAAATAAGTATGGAAGTGCATATGTTAGGGGTCATTACAACATAAAGCTCATGAAGAGCAACACAAATATTTCAGCTGTCAAATAAGGATCAAAATCTAAGCAAGGAAACAATAAAACAACTGGTCACACCAGCAGCACTTCATCATCAGCCCAAGCAAACCAGCAAGCCACCAACACAACCATATTAATCTTCCTCCTCATAAGAGCTAGAGTCATTGTCCTCAACATCTTTATCACTTGCCTCCTCAAACTGGCAACAGTTTCCTCTGATGCAGCATCCTGGCCATCATCCTCCCTTGAACCATCATCATTTCTCTCCTTATCAGTGTCAGTGAATTCAGAATCTTCATCTTGCTCAAGAGACCTGATCAATCTTTTAAGATTCTGCTTCCTTGTATCCAACTCCTTGCAAGTTTCTTTGAGCATTGCAATAACCTCAGCTTTTCTTGTCCTGGAACTTTCCTTGGATGTTTCTGCAGATGTCATGACAATGTCAGGAACATGAGTTCATTGAAATAGCTTGTGATGGAAGGACAAAGGGCTTTCTCTCTTGCTTGTAGAATCATTTTCTTTGAGAATATTGGGATACTGGTTTAAGATTATTCCACAGATAAGAGAAGGAAATGCAATGGGGCCTTTGATACTATAGTTGCCTGCATACTTCATGGTCTGATAAAAAATATAGGCCCCATAGTCAAATTTGGCTTTGGTTCCAACAGCATAGATAAATCTCCCAAGGATAGTTGCCACAGTTGACTTATGATTTGTGGGCACCCAATTAGCAGGACCAATCTTGTGTAACATAGCATACTTGACACTCAGTTTGATGGCAACTACCTTTCCTTTTGATGGCCAGCTTTTTACTTGGTTGGCTGTTATCACCTGACACATTTTGTTGTCAGAAACGGCTATATCAGGTTGTGCTGAATCTGATCTTCTCAGATAGTTGTTGATGGTTGTTGAAGAAAAAGTGACACATTTACCTCGTACATAAACCTTGCCAAACTCATTGGATTTCCTATCAGCACATTCTTCTGATAGGTTAACTATGAATTCTTTGACAAGTAACTCATAGCAGTGTGAGAATTGAGTGACTTCTTCAGCAAACCAGCATCATGGATGAGATTCATGATCTCCTTATTTTCAAGAGCATTCTGAGCTAGCTCTCTCTCCAAAGCCAACCTCTTTTGATAAACATATTTCCATTTGTTGACACTAGATGGATAATGGAAGGATACATTGTCAATGGGAACATCGGGAACACTAGCAGCTAGTTTGCTAGTTGTGGGTCTCTTCTTTGGTTGGATGTCAATGACATCACAAGCAACATCTGATTCAGAGTCTGATTTAGAACTAGTTTGGGCCTTCATCTTCTTTGGAACTACCTTGCTCCAAGCTTTGGTAGGGCCAACCTGAGTTCTCTTTGTCCCAGCTTCCTTTATAAGAGCGTTCTGCACAACAGCC